AGATTGTCCCACTCTTGACCTAACAATCAACATCGGCCCCTCTGTTGTTTCCCCGACTCAGACTGCAAGGAATCTGGGTGTGACCCTAGATAACAAACTGTCCTTCACAAACATCGCTGCTACAACCCGCTGCTGCAGATACACGCTTTACAACATCAGGAGGATACGTCCCCTCCTGACCCAGAAAGCGACACAGGTTCTGGACCAGGCTCTCGTCATCTCACGCCTAGACTACTGCAACTCCCTCCTCAACCTTCCAACATTTTCCCACACCACACCGCTCCTCCGCTCCCTTCACTGGCTTCCAGTAACTGTTAGAATCCACTTCAAGACACTGGTACTTGCGTACCATGCTGTGAATGGATCTGGCCCTTCCTACATCCAGGACATGGTTAAACCATACACCCCAGCACGTGCACTCCGCTCTGCATCAGCCAAACGGCTCGCTGCACCCGCACTGCGAGGGGGACCCAAGTTCCCATCAGCAAAAACACGTGGGTTTGCTATCCTGGCTCCAAAATGGTGGAATGAGCTCCCCATTAACATCAGGACAGCAGAAAGCCTACACACATTCCGGCGCAGACTGAAAACTCATCTCTTTCGACTCCACTTCGAGCAATACAATTACTAACAAAGCACTTATATTCTAATAAAGGACTGGCTTATCTAAAGCTAGTTGAGTAGCACTTGAAATGTTTTGGCTCTATGAAACCTGATGTACTTATATGATTCTGTTTTCTTCACGTTTGTATCTTCTTGGTCGAATGCACGTAAGTCGCTTTGGATAAAAGCGTCAGCTAAATGCAATGTAATGTAATGGTTTCAGACAGAGGGTGAAAAGAGGTGCTGCAGCACAGGCAGTATGAGAAAAATAAAGAGCTTTTTGAACATTAAAGCATGGAGACATGTCCCAGTAGAGACACTACATATAATATGAGCCTGAACATGAGCATAATATTTCCATCTTAAAATACCAAGAAAATATTATAAAAAATAAAAAATAAACTTTTTCATATTTTTCTATTCAGCAACATACAGACTTAAAGGTGACTTTTCCACACAGACAAATCCTTTGTAATTTCCTCCATCCTGTAGAACTGTTTCCGTCTCTCATTGTGTCACTGTAGGGGGTTAATCTTATCACATTTTCAATATTTTGACTCGTCTTGCAAGGTAAGCAGGAAGCCAGCATGAAAACTACCAGTTCTTTGAAACTTTAGAAGCTAAAGGGAATTTCCACCAAGCAAGTTACATCTTTGTTTTATGTACCTTTTCTTCATTCCTTGACTTGTGTACAACTCACAGATGTACAACTTTCAGGAATTTCTGATATTTGATTGGTTGTTCATATAGTTTACCAGTCCTCCCAGAAACTCATTCTTCTCCTTGTTGTTAAGCCCTCACTTTCTTATTTAACTACTTACAATGGGTAGCATAGAAGGCCAGAGTGGCTTCAGTTACATGAACTGATGTGTTTATGAATGAGCTTCTTGTATGTGTGGGTGAGTGAGTAAACCACATTAGGCCAAGGACCTGTTGATAGCTGGAGTCTTCAAGACGTCTCTGATCTACAGAACAGGGTGTGAAGATGATTTAACATAACCCTCTAACAGCCAGATAGTCGATCTTAAAGTGTTTAATGACATTTAATGTTTGTTTGTACATTAGTACTGGTTTGCAATAAATCAGTGTACAAAACACTATGGCTCTTAGATGTTTATAAAAAGAATCTAAGTAGTAAAAGGTGCATACAAACATATCAAAAACTAACCATACATGAAAATATAAAGTTAAAAATAAATACAAATAATTTTAAGTAAATACAACCTATACAACTCAGGTGATGTAGTATAAAGCAACAAAGTTGGGCCACTGATTGTGTCCCTTGCCAGTCATGTCAGTTATGTAACCAAGTCACTTATGTAACCAAGTCACGTATGTAACGTAGTACCCTTACTTTTGCTGTTACCTTTGCAACAAAAACACATTTATTTTAACCCAAACCTTAAGCGATCCAAAACCTAACTGAGTAATCCTTTGTCCTAAATAATATTTATGACCAATTGTTTAGCAGAACAAGTTTAAAAGTGGACAGCCCTTGCGTGACTGTTGCAGATTATATCTTGTGTTTGGCAGTCACTGGCACATTTTATTTGAACCTGGTAAGGTATGAGGATGTTACTTGTGTAGTTGGATGCTTTATTACAATTGATTTAGCATGAGTCACTCACAACCACTCCCTTTTCCAAATAATAGTCTAATACGCACAAACTCAGATCAGATTCTCAATAAGCTGTAAGCACCAACCGTGGATTGATTTTAAAATAATTGTACTTACATACAAAGCGCTCAATGGTCAGGCACCATCCTACCTACAGGATCTTTTAATCCCCTATTGCCCCTCTAGGGCACTAAGATCCCAGAGTGCAGGTCTGTTGGTGGTTCCCAGAGTCCACAAAATAAGATCAGGTGCTCGAGCTTTCAACTACCAAGCTCCGTTCCTCTGGAGCCAACTTCCAGTGCTGATGAGGGAGGCAGACAGTGTCCACACATTTAAGAGTAGGCTGAAGACTTTCCTCTTTAGTACAGCGTACAGTTAGGACTGGTTTTAAACTCCCTTTTAAACATCCTCATGGACCCTTCATTTGATGGAATTGTAATTATGTATTCTAACTGTATTTGTCTCATTGTGTTTTGTACCCATTCATTTGTTATGTTCACATTTATCTTGTAATTTTACTATATTCTCAGATATGTTTGTTGTTTTTACATTACCATTCATGTTTGTTGATTTGTGAAACCCTCTGAGACAAATGTGTTTTGTGATACTGGGCTTTATAAATACATTTTAATTTAATTGAATTGAACCTTAACAACACTCAGACAATAGACCAATACCTGTTCATTGTTTGAAGGTACTGGTGTCTCTTAACAATGTTGTTCACACTTGTTATAAGCAAATCCATTTACCATAGAAGTCCAACTCGTAGATATTTGGCTATAGGTAAATAGGCTGAATGAACAAACACCCAAATGACGTTCTGTACTTTTAAGCTTGATACTCTTCCCTACTCGCTTGGACCACACCCATGTTCTACATACTTGGAGCATACTTGGCCTTCAATTGGACTCAACTAAACCCATGTAAAGTGTTACGACTGCATCTTTACGCTGACGATCTAGCACTGATTTGATCTGACATGAGAAGAATATTTGTTTCCCGTAAAGTCTCAGGTTCTTACAGGAAGACCTGTGAAACCTGCAGAGCAAGTCCTCCAGCTTTGATGCGGTCCCTTTTTCATGTGTCATTACCACTGGCACCATCGTAGCTAAAGAGATTGTTGCTGACATTGACCAAACACATCATTAGATCAGGTAGGGGTTGCGTGACTTGCCTAAGGGTATGTTTACAGTCACCAGGCAGATGGAGGGATTTGCAAAAACAACTACAGAACAGGAAACCATTTTCTATCTTTCACAAGAGATTGAAGATGCTCAACTATTTCTTCCAAATTCTGTCAAATGCTGCTTGCATCAAACAAACTGTCTTTAAAAAGAATCACTATTAGGAAGAAGGAACTTTCAGACTTAGGACTAACCCTAACCCTAAGAATAATAAAGAAATATTACTGCAAAGTTATACCCATCATTTTTATTGTATATTCTATTATCGTATGAACAGTTTCTTCTTAAACATCTGACATACCTTTTAAACTATGTTGGCTTACAGTAAAAAAAAAAAAAAAAATCAGAATTCAATGATGATAATTGTGTACAAAGTTGTGCAACTTGTGTTCTTGTCCTTCTGTCAGTTCCCAATTGTCTCCAATGAACAGTGGTAAAATCATGATGTCAAATTAGCATGTGATGTTTTGAACTTTTCATTTTTGAACTGTTTAGGGCCAAGGACCCATACATAGGTTTAATGCTTATTATCATTTGTAGAATTCAAATAATTTCAATGGCATCCATCATAAGTTTAATAGGTATTAGCATTATTGTATCAATGCTGGTGATTTGAAGGAGACAATAAACCAAACAAATTAATTAAGGCTAGCTCACTGCAATGACATAGTTCTAGGGGTTCAACATACACCATGCAGACGGTCTCAAATAAATGACAAAATACGTTTGTGCTTTCAAAAACTTGACTTAAATAAACATGTTTTATATTACGTTAGGTACTTGGATGGGTTTGAGGAAAACTAACGTTGTTTTTGTGCACTTACTTACTGTAGCATTTAGGTTATTTCTACAGGTCAGAGCAACTGGGTTGTAGACTAAATGACAAGTGTGCTTTAAAGTGCAGCTTCTGAGGATACAGCAATGAGCTTTGACGGACACATTTTCCCCCAAGACCAGGTGCATGTTGCGAAAAATGATTGTTACAGTTGATGAAGGGGGTGGGGGAGGGGTGTCTAAAGTCAAAGATGAATCTTGATTGGGCCAAATTTGACCCTGAGTCACCCAAAACAATTCTGCTGGGTCTCCCCAAACCCGAACACCAAATTATATACTTTTTTTTTCAGAGACCTTCAGACTTTGTCAAAATCTGTTTTGTAGTGTTTATAGCTGTTGTGGAGGATATCATGAAGCCTCGTTCCGATAAAAACTAGAGTGTAGTTATTATATAATTTTAACTTGAAACGGGTCACGGGAGACCCGAACACAACATAAGGGTTAAATAGGTGTTACTGTGCTGAGCACTGAGTCACTTCTGATGTTTTGGGTATTGTCTAATCTTTTACCTGTATTGCTGCTAAGGCCACCTCCAGAGAATGCCCCCCAAAGCAAACATTACAAAGTACCTTTCTATTTGATTATGATAAATCTACCTATTGTTCTCTGTGTTAAAATATATGCTTTGTTCCACATGATGCACAGGCACAAAGGCACAATGGCACAATGGCTGATAACATCAGACAGGAAGCTGTGGGAATAATTAAACCAACCAGCAGTCCCTTACTATATTACAGGAAGTTATTTGTGCAGCGTGTTTATCATCGCTCCACTTGCTGGTAGACAGTCTTCACACTCTGCAGGCTCCTGTGAACACCAGTGAGTCCAAAACATTAAAGTGGATAAACAGCAAGAAGAGAAAGATCATGGTAAGAAGCTAACCATCACTTTGAAAATGCATATTTGTTGGGACTTTATTGAATACGTTTTTTTAGTGTTTCACAGGACTGATCTGAGCTTGAATTTCATAGCTTTGTAAATGTGTGTGTTAGTGTGAAAGGATTTCGGTTGTGGTGAAATCACGTGCCCTGAGTTCTGTTTGGTTTGGCTGATCTGCATCTGTGTTTGCTCAGGCTGCACTGTATTTGCTGAGTGTTTTCTGTGACATGATGTACTCTTAATGACTGAAAAGACAATACTAATCAGATACAATTATTCCTTCACATTAAGTCTGTCAATATATATCACATGTATCCATCCTTAGGGATCCAGATTAGTTTTATATAACCATATTAATATTTAATCTTTATCATTTGCATATACAAAAAAGGTGCCATTTTCATAGTATTAACATCTGTATTTTTAAAACTTGATGGCTCTTTTCAAATCAAGTTTTATTTATATAGCACATTTAAAAGCAATTTTGATCGAGCCAAAGTGCTGTACATTTAATAAAAACACATTACTACAATCACAATAACAATTATTTTATCTTCTGCAAAATTGTTATTCATGCATAAAACAATGTATACATTTATTTGAATAATCAACAGAAGTTGAAAATATATTTTTTAAATTCCAAACCACCAACATTAACATTGACTAATGAAAAGAGCTTTAGACACTAAAAAGGAAAAATAGAGCCAAAGAGAAAGGCATCACTTCTGTATTCTTAGCAACTTTTCTTATTTAACTCTTTATTATGAAGATGTTTTATTGTGATATTGGAAAGCAATTGTGCTATGGGAATACGTTATAGTTTTTACTTACAGTACCTACCTGTTTCATACCATTAAGCTTCAAGATCTATTTCCTTAAGGGGAATTTAGTAAAGAATGCAGCAACATGATTGACCTAAAAAGACAAAAATGGAACAAAATGACACCTTTTCTCATTCCTGTCAGGCCGAGCTATTATCAGGTTGTTAAGTTGAGTGAGTTTTCCTGCACTTCTTTTGTATTTTTTCAAAGCAATATTTCGTATTTTCCTCACAGAATATCCCGTTTTTCTAATGCTCATTATGATAGAGGTCTCCTTATATGGCTATGGCTTGGTGCAGTGTACTGTATGTGTGTGCAATTCAGAGACTGTTGTTGTGTCTTAAATCCCACTTTATCGGTGCTCTACCCTTATTGTCCTTTATTTATTAAAATGTTCCAACATAAGGCATGAACATTAAACAGTTTCTGTTGTGGAGTGTTTTTTCCTGTTCGCCGTTAAAGGCAAAGGTGCCTGCCCTAAAACCAGTATTTATATCTGAAGAGGGTAAAAACTTGAAAACATAAGCAGAATGAAGATACAGACAGAATGTTCAGGAAGTTCAGATTACTTAAGTCAGGTACAAGCAGTGTCAGGATATCCGCCAATCAGGCAAGCAAATAGGGGTCCAAACCCCGGGGTCAGAAATGGGCAGATCAGATAACTGAGAAAATACAAACAGACCTCGGAGACCTTGGCCGTACACACCAGACTTTTTTACTTTTCTCTGTCAGGTGTTGTCCCACTCGCTGAAGAGAAAAGGATGACAGTCAGCAGGTGTAGCTGCCTTGTATACTGTGTGCCTGCGCGCGCATTCAGGTAGGCTCGCCCTGATTGGCCGGCTACGTTTATACAACTTCAGTGTATGAACGCTCACGTATCATTGATGAGAGTAGTACCCATAGAGTCCAGTAGAGGGCGGAGCCTGTGTGAGATAGAACAGGCAGTCTGTTCTTTAACACAAACCTGGTACTATTACATCACACAGATTTGATGCAGCTTCACCTTTGTCTTTGCCATGTCCATAGGCATGTTTTGGACATTAACGTCAGAGAAAACCGCTGGAAAATCTCGGTACAAGTGAAACAAGAGTGGGCTGAGAATAGACCCTTGTGGGACACCAGAAGAAGATACAAGCGTATAGTTATAGTTGCTATCCCATACCCACCCTTACCTCGGGACATCTTAAGTTAGTCGATGATTTGAATTACTTTGACTTATGAAATAGTTTTAATAAAAATAAATCTTTTACTGATCAGTTCTAGAGCAAGAGCAAGGTGGTTGTTGTAAAAGTTAAGTGATTAAACGCCAAATAGTCAATAAAGTAGTTATTAGGGATGTCCCGATCACCTTTTTTTGCTCCCGATCCGATTCCGATCATTTGATTTTGACAATCTGCCGATACCGATTTTTCCCGATCCGATCTTTATGCAATGCATTAAGAGGAAAAAAAAGGTAACAGATAACGGCTGGTCATCCAACGCGATGATTTCAGCTATCTTGGCTGTTATTTTTTTGGCCTTTTCACTGTTCTGGGGTAGTTTCTCTTTCCTTTTAAAAGTCTCTGAAAGTGTCGGTTGTTTCAGTGCCGTTACCTGAGTGGCCGCTGTGTACTCGTCGTGTTGTTGTTGGTGGTGTTAGATTGGTCATGTTGAACGTAGCTCTGTTCTTTCCACCACGCGGAACCTCCGCCTTGCAAACATTGCATCTGGCTGTTACACTGCCTTCGCTTTCAATTTTATAATACTTCCAAACTCCTGACATTTTCTCTGTCCCGACTCCCGAGTCACCAGCTGAACGTAGCCTCTTGTTAGCTTACTGCTACTATTAGACACTGCGCCCACTCTGTTGCCAGATTTGAGAGAAATAAGCAACCAGGTCTATGAAAACAAGCCCAAAAGAAGCAACACATACATGATGTTGTGTAATTTTAACCCAAAACTAAGGCCTCAGGATGACTTTAAGACGTGAACATGGTCATTTTTGTTTTGTAACATTAAATAAAATGTATAAAAATATTTTATAAAAAAATTCCGATCCCCGATTTTTTTCTCCCGATCCCCGATCACGTGAAAATCACGTGATCGGCTCCGATCCCCGATCACGTGATCGGATCGGGACATCCCTAGTAGTTATCCAAAGCTCTTTATTACTATTACCATATAGGTTCAGTTAATACAAAAAGAATCACAAGGAGACCCTTGCACACTCCACCCACATCCTACCCCTCTAGCTGTTCCAAATATATTAAAGATAATGTTTGTTTGCTATCTTATAAATCTGTCTTTTAACTGACATTTAACTTGCCATTTTACTATTTACACATTTTGAACATCAAAGGTTGCCTTTGAATACTGTACAGGTTAACAATGAGTCTACTCCTTATCATCCTGACACATTTCAAGGTGTGCATATATCTACAATTACATCTTACGAGATATAATCAGTTCAGTAGCTCTTAAAAAAACTATTGTTTGTTTGTTTGCTTTTAGCAGATGTGATTGACAGTTCTGAGATGAATACATTATATAAGAAAGATTTCCATTGAATAATAAAGAAAGCATGAGGGGTTTCCTTCATGTGAAAGGATGTCTTTGGCTGCAGTTTAATCTTTAAGCTGTTGGTTAAATCAGAAAGTTAATGTACTTCTCGTGTTTGCAACTGTGGGAATTGTATCGCTTTCCATTAGTATATACATGACATTTAATTTAACTGACGCTTTTATCCAAAGCGACTTACAATAAGTGCAATAAACCATAAAGATACAAACTCAGGACGACAATAAAAGTTGCTTCAAATAAGCCAGCCATACAGGTGCATTAGTTTCAAATTGGCTCTTCAATTGCTTTTTTAATTATAATTGAATGGCCAAGTTACAAGCGAAACAGGTTTTTCAGTTTGTGACAGAAGATATGAAGACTTTCTGCTGTCCTGATATCAATTGGGAGTCGTTCCACTATTTTGGAGCCAGGATAGCAAATAGGCTGTTTTTGTTTGTTCTGGTTCTAACTCACAGTGAAGGGAGAGCAAGCCAATTGACTATATGTTTTTTTCCCAATTGGGGTTACAGTAGGTCCAGTTCTAGGTTATTTTACTATTTGATTTTGAATCTGTGTGAAGATCAGTTTGGTACTGCTTTTTGCCTAACGAATAATCCTTTTTTCCTTCCATCCTTGTCTGTAGTTCAGGAACCATTGTGAGAAGTCTTGCTCCCGCAGTTAAAAAAAGTTCGACGAAAAAGAAGAGGATTTGTTGAAATAAAAAGTTGAATTCACTTTTGGAAACAACATATAAGCAATCCAGCAAAAACAAATGCTCTAGAAAATACTGCTCTATGATCTGAGGCTGCTGCGTGGCTTCTAGGAACCAGAAAACTGCAAGAGACCAGAACCAGGTTAACAGGCTTTATTATCTAACTGATAACCTGATCCTGATCAGCTGTCCAGTATCAAGGCCGCCGTAGCCACACCCTACTGCCAAACTGACATGTCAAATACATTCCAGTGCCTTCACTATGTTTCACACTCTTCAAATTCCGAACTAGTCTCTTAATCTTCTTAAAATTGATGAATCTTCTGTTGTTGTGCCACCCAGCAACACTGGATCTTGTTGACTGCCAGACAACACTATGTGGGAGTGTCTCTGTCCAATGCAGTTAACTTGAAGAGGAAAAGTCATTAAAGGTATGTTTACTTGAAAACAACGTGAGGTTGTGTCAAATTGTCTGTAAATAAAAACTACACTATCTATTTCACTTTTGACATGACATAGTACAGCAGGTATAGATAACATGTCACCTCACTGTTAACATTTTCCATTAGTTGGCTTTCATGAGTCTATTTGGGGGAATGGCAAATAACCAGACTGTCAGTAGTGCTCTAACTTCAGCAATAAAGCGACCTGTGATTTGAATCACGAGTAACTAATGTCACGAACAAGTACTTTAATTACACACGCAACAGAGCAACAACAGCCATCATGAAACTTGTTAATAGCTGGGCAAAGTGTTTTAACTTATAAAATACAAAATAACCTGTCCTCACAGATATTGCACCAATCAAATTACAGTACCAATTTTTCCAATAGTAATCAGAAATTCAATCCCCCAGACAAATACATTTTGGAAATTCATTACATAGACTGACTGAGCCAAATACCCATATACATGTGTTGGTTTCCCAGCTAAACTTTATTTGGATAAGTAAATATAGTTATTCTAAAATATACCTTGTACACATTTCTTAAAATGGTGGCCAAACCCAAAGCCATGATTGGAAATGCATCTTTATAGGCCTATAAAGTTGAATCCAATGATGTAATAAGATAATTATTAGGTTAAGAAACCCTCAACAATGTGCTTGACCTTATTTGTTCTGTGGTATAAGAACAAGGTATAATTGTGACAGTGTTGACAATATCTATGTAATTATCTAACAATACAAACAATGTAAAGCTGGGTGGTATAATTATATCATGTTTTCTTTTCTGTCCCTTTTAAGAAATTAAAAGGAATGGCAATATTTAAGACATGCTTGTCCATCTTTGCCCTTCTCCTGACACTAACTATCTTGGAAACAGGGAACTTCATTGAATCTCCAAGTCGGGTTTTGCCGGTAGGTCAACGGTGTTTATAATACTGTACAGAAAATATGGAATCACAGCCTTCAATACACAAAGCAATGATTTGAACCTAAACCCTATCTGTTGTCTCAGGAACACAACGAAGAAGAATCATGCATACCTCACACCAGGGGGAAAAGGAGTGGTAAGTCTCATTATTAAATATTAAAGAATATTGAATAAAGTATGGAAGTCAGCTTATGTCCTGCCTTTACTAAAAGGAGGGGAGGCCACCTTATTAAATAATTATAGACCCATCTCTAAATTGCCAGTTCTGGCCAAGGTTCTTGAACGCCTAGTGAGTGAGCAGGTAAAGGTGTTTTTATGTAAAAATGACATCCTATGTAAACATCAGTCAGGTTTCAGAAAGCAACATAGCACCATCACAGCGACAATGAAAGTGGTAAATGATATTGCGGGTATCTTAGACAAAAAGCAGAGTTGTACAGCTCTGTTTTTTAATCTTTCCAAAGCGTTCTATACCGTCGATCATCGCATCTTAAGTGCCTCCCCTCTCTCGTGCACGCGCTAGCTGCCAGAGCATGTGAGAAAACGAGAAGCTGCAAGTGGGAGTGCAACTGCCGCTGCGCGTCGGCTTGTTGACAAAAAAGACGCCAGAAGCTAAATGTTGAAGTATTTTAGCTATATCTCTGACAGTGAGGGCAAGCCTACGGACACCACGAGGCCTGTCTGTAAGAATTGTTTTAGATCCCTGCAAACCAAGGGAGCCAACACATCAAACTTGGCTAAGCACCTCGCCGACCGGCATCCAGAGCTGTTTAAAGAATTTAAAGACAGACAGGTTAGCGAATGTGATAGATAACATAATTACATCATGCTCAAGCCCATGCCTTCAAATCTAAGTCAAACAAGTGTAATTTATTTTGTGACAAACGAACGTTTTCGTAGTTTGACGAGGCAATTAATGGCAATGATAACTGTCTAATATGGCTATCTTTTTAGCTAACTTACCAATGTGGCTAACATCTGCAATGTACATTTTGTCAATAATTATTTATATTACTGTACTATTACATGTTAATAAAATATAAAGTTAACTATCAAAGAAATCACATAAACTCAAGTATAAAGAAGAGACCATGTTGTAAGAAAACACTTAACAGATAAACTACAATTTTATTAATCATGAAAATAATAAAAGAAAAGTATCGAAAAATAATCGGAATCGCAATTCTTGACTTGGTATCGGTATCGAAACCAAAATGTTGGTATCGTGACAACACTACCACTTTGGATATTGTTACTACGCAAGGACAAGTACTTGAAGTGGTTACCTGTTATAAATACCTTGGTATCTTGCTTGATTATTGTCTCTCTTTTAAACTTCAGGTCAATAAACTGCTTAGAAAGCTAAGGGTGAAGCTAGGTTTCTTTTTCAGAAACAAGTCCTGTTTCTCACTTGAGGCCAGGAAAAGTCTCTGTGACCTTTTTACCTGTGCTGCACTATGGTGATTTGATCTATATGAATGCACCTGCCCATTACTTAATCAAGTTAGATGCCGCCTATCACAGTGCACTGAGATTTGTAATTAACAGTAAAGTATGAACTCATCACTGTACCCTGTATGTCAGAGCAGGCTTGCCTTCACTAACTGTACTGTCAGTCACTGGTACATGTTCATCTACAAAGCCATGTTGGATAAACTACCTTCTTACATCTGCTCTCTGATCTCTCGACGAATTGAAAGTAGCTATTGCCTGAGATCTCATGATGTGGTTTTATTAAATGTGCTAGGACTGACTTAGGGAAAAAAGCTTTTAGATGCGCATCTCCACTAACTTGGAACAGTCTGCAAAAGGAATGGAAACTGAGCAATTTGGTTCCACTAAATGTTTTTAAAGCATGGATAGATGCTATCCAATCGGAAACTGTTGGAACCTGTAAATGTCACTAGCTATGTAAACTGTAGTCACTGTAAATATACTGTAGGATGTACTTTTTGTTTTTCTGTTGTTTTATGTTTTATATGTATTCATGTGGAACCTACTTGCAGCAGGTCACCCTTGAAAAAGAGATCAAAGATCTCAATGGGATTCACCTGCATAAATAAAGGTTTGAAATGAAATGAAATGAAATATTGGAATAATAACACTTTATAACTGATAGCTAGTTTAAAAGATTGAAAACATGAGAGGTGTGACTGTGCTGTCCCCGGTATATGTAGTGTATATAGCTTAACAGCCAGATAAACTCCCTCCGTACACCAAGACTCTGAAGACGTGAATCCTGTGCCTACAGGTTTATTGGTATAAGGATGGTGTGAAACTAAAATAAACAAGAAAAAATGTAATCAATTCTATGATCATTTTTACATGCACAAATATGCACAATGTATATATATCAACACAGCTTTAACATGAATTGAATTGCCTCGTTATATTTACTGTAAGCTTTTTAATGTATTTATTTTAATTCTAGAACTTAAACAGTTATAAATGGCATCATATTTTAAACATATAATCAACCATTTGTACATTTATTCATTTAACTCTCCTTGCATTAACCTTGCAAAAATATTGAGACAACTCCGAAGATCTCCAGCATTAAACACCACAGAATACAATATTTTCAAAAGATAATCATCTGTAATTGTTAATAACATAAACATAAACAATACGTACGTACATACGATGCGATCAAAGGCATGAAGACATATGCAGATGTAGCTGGATTTCTTTACAAACAATAGCACATTGCTCACAGAGCCATGCTTTGCCTATTTCCTCTCTAATGATCACCTGACACACCCATCTGATGATGTCATCCTGATTCTTAAAGGGACCACGACCAGGCACAATAGGCACACAAAAAGTAGCCCAGAAAATGCAAACAATACTAAACTTAGCTGTAACAGAACAGTGACTCATCTCATCGAACTCAAAAAAGTAGTTCCCCAAATACCAACTATTAAGAACTTGTATATTGTGTGTGGATGATTTAAAACAACATTCATATTTTGTTTGTATTTTTTTCAATCTCTCCAGTGGCTACAAACCAATGGAATTACACGCTTGATGTTGTATTGAATGCCTCTGAAGTGGCAATAATTCAGCAGTTTCAGTCCTCTTTGAACAGTTTTCCCATACAACTTGGTAACAACACAGAGATCTCGGACATTACCTTCACAACAGGTGAGTCATTTGAGTAGCTATGTTGACCTTCTTACCAACATATAAACACCTTTTATGCTATAATGATCACTTTTCTTTCATCAGTGTGTTCCTCGACTGCCACTGGCTTCCAGTGTAGATGTGAGGACAATTTTGCTTGGCCATACAGCACATGTGTCACGTATGGAGCCTGTGATTCCATTGTTAGTGGCATCTGTACATGCATTGATGCTATTCCAGCTGATGGACAGTCCTGCCAGGCAATATCAGGTGAACAAGTCATTACTTATTGATTTCCTTTCATTGCTAATTACCAGCAGCAGCCTGGTGAAGGGAGGGCACACAGGGATTTTAGCCTTTGCAGACCATTTACATGCACAAAAACCTTTTTAACCCAAGAAAGCATACCTTTTCTTTTTGAAGGGTCGCAGTGGCTAAAACTTTTAAATAAGAGACATTCAATATTTTACATTTAGAGTGATCATTAATAGACCATTAGCTCTAAGATAAAACACATAATTAAGTATTACTTTAAATGATTACAGCTTAATTTTAGTGATTTCTCTACATTGATGTCAATCATGTTGTTTTTTTACTACAGGGCTTCTGGCTCAGGTTGAGTACGATGTGGATGTTGACCTGCTTTTTACTGATATTGGGACCGTGGACGACCTTAGAAGCATCCTGGATGCAGGTGGCTTTTCCCTAGCCTTGGGTCCAACTGTGAACGTCACACACATTACCATCACCACAGGTAAGCATGGTGGCAAAAGCATGGGGGGAAAATGTTGTTAGACAAGACAAAGGGTGCCTGGGAATTAAAGTGTAGCCAATATCACCACAGGTAAGAACAAATGCATTATATCCTTTTTTAATATCTATTTCAAACTTCTGCCTTTTTCACAAGAGAAAATATGTTATTCTCTTTAAAGTTTGCAGCCAAGATAACACTGGGTTTCAGTGCCACTGTGAAAATGACTATCTTTGGCCGTGTGATAAGTGTGACACCTATGGGAAATGTGATGGTAATACAAGCAACACATGTGGATGCATCAATGCCATTCCTCCTGATGGACAATACTGCCAGCCTGCTGATCAATACAGTAAGTTGGTTTGCAGGTTTGTTTCCTTTTAGGATCATATTTCTATTTTCTGCCTCTACTGTAACATGTCTCCATGCTTTAATGTAGAAAAGCGCTTTATTTACCTCATACTGCCTGTGCTGCAGCACCTCTTTTCACCCTCTGTCTGAAACCAGAGCACAGTGTGCTCTGATTGGTTAGCTAGCCGTTTTTGGGATTGGTCAGGCGCTTAGAGATGTGGTTGAAATGTCCCGCCCCTAAGCGGGTTGCGAGTGTGTGGGAGGGAAACTCCCTCTGGAGGGAACACAGGGATTTTAGCCTTTGCAGACCATTAACATGCACAAAAACCTATATAACACACTACAGGAAAGGGAAAACCCCAAACCACAATAGTGAGATATAAAAATGTAAGATGACTCTTTTAAATATAATATTCAGAAATATATAGTAAGTTTTGTTCAAACTAGCAATGTCACGACATATAAGTAAGTATGTATATCATGTTAATAAACCACATTAAAATATGATGTAAATCATTTCTATTTTTTTATATATTTATTTATTTTTATTGCGAAAGTCGTGAAAGTTGTGACAGCCCTAATTTAAGCTTTTAAAATGTGCGTATGACAATATACAGTAGTAACTATCTTATTAGTCTCACCCTTTATAGTTGTTTCTACTATAGTTCTCTATCAGATAGACGGTTCGGCCACATGAGGCCGACATGGAAACGCAGAAAACGATAACGATAACGGGTCCCAAGGTGGGGAAGAAACGCTCTGGGGGGGCAAACGGCTCCGTGATTACGCCCTATAACGTTCATTTCCTGCTAACAATGACGCAATAGCCCCAGTGTTTCGAGCCAGGTCCCAGTATCTCGCAGGACAGTGCACCCAGCAGGAGCTTCCAGCTAGATCTGATCGATATGGACATAAACGCAAGTGAAGTCTAATCGGACAGGAGAGGAGACACGCAGCTCTGCATGATAGCCTGCAGCTCCGCCCGCTGTGATGGAGCGATGAGCGGAACAAAACACACACTTCAAGTTAGATCATCACCCTTAGCTATTTTAATTACCTCTCAAACTACCTAAACTAGCTACAAATATGTTTATTTTGACTGTCGGGTCACTCATTACTGGATCAGCCAGCTGCATGAGACCACGGATACTGATGGGCTGTCAGGAGAGGGGGAGGAAAAGAGAGGCTCCGTCCTCCGTGTATTATTCTTATATTATTATATAGAGTCGTTATTAATTTGTTTTAAAGCTCAATAAATAACAAAGAAGACCTTTGACTGGCACTTTTCTAATTTTGTCCGGAAGATTTAAACTTTAACGGACATGTTGACCGGCGAAACCCCACCTCTGCTGCTAAATCCAGCGCGGAGAATAAACAGAAGGGCAACCATGGCAACCATGCATGCGCGAGAAGTCTTCTTCGCTGCTTTTGGTGTATTTTGTGGCAGAAGTACAGCGCCACTTACAGGCCCGGCATATGTACTACAGCGTCTCCAGTGCTTTCGAGTGGTCTCGTGTGAACGTACACGTTTCTGGTGCCTATTGCGTGTGGACAGAAGACTTTTTTTATAACGATTTCGGTGCGTTTCCGTTATCGTCCTCGTGTGGCTGCAGCCTAAGATGACTCGACTCTTTTAAATTGTTATATCCAGAAAATGAAGTGAGTGATATTCAAACTTTCTGGTTATATAATAAATACAAATGATAATGTCATGTAAGCAATCCATCGATTTTCTTTTTCCCTTTGGTTATGGGCAGGGGCGCCGCCAGGGATTTTGGGCCCCATGAAAAGATATCACAATTGGTTACTTAAACATTTTTTTCTTAATGTTCTAAAATTGTTTGGGCCCCTGTCAGTCACGGGCCCTTAGAATTATCCTAACTTTTCACCCCCTTACGGCGCCCCTGGTTATGGGAACAGACTTTTCTTTATCTTTCTTGTATATCTATTTTTATTAGCAGTAAACAGATACAACGCACAATAATCAAATGTAAAGATAGATTTCACTAAAGCGTAATATTGTTATATTTCTTTTTGTTAAATGTCTATAGGTATCATGATATTATTATCACTAATTCATTTGGTCACATTTATTTTACAGTATAACATCTTTTTATATTCTGATAGCCCTTTTTCAAGCTCTTAAAATATGCATCATATAACAACGAGAAGCAATTATCTAAGAACTCCTCTCTTTTACTTCTTACAGATGTTACAGCTTGTCCTCTTTTAACAACTCCATCACCAACAACTCCATCACCAACAACTCTTCCTTCAACAACTCCATCACCAACAACTCTTCCTTCAACAACTCCATCACCAACAACTCTTCTTACAACAACTCCATCACCAACAACTCCATCACCAACAACTCCATCACCAACAACTCTTCCTTCAACAACTCCATCACCAACAACTCTTCCTTCAACAACTCCATCACCAACAACTCCATCACCAACAAGTAAGACTTAAAGGACAGTATTTTATAAAACAAAAACCAAATGATAATATTATTTACAAGTGAGACATCAACTGTATTTGTTTTTCTTTAAAATGCTCTCCCTGCAGCTCCTCCTATTCTCTTTGAATACATCATCTTGGCTGAGTTGAGCACCACAGATGTCACTCTAATAAATCAACTGAGTACCATTCTGAGAAGCATCCGTTACCCCTTTATCCTCAACAACGCACAAATCCTTGATGTAAACATTTCTACAGGTGCAGATACAATACTGTAAATAAGTGAAATATGTGTTGGTGTTGTCAACCCTAAGTGTGAATCTACAAGTTGTAAAACACACTTTACTAATATGACAGTTAGAAAAACTCATTACATGTGTGAAATTCATTGTGTTTTTGTTTGGTCTCCAGTTTGCTCTCCGAGCAGTTCTGGTTACCAGTGCAGATGTGAGGATCAGTATCGTTGGTCATGTGACCAGTGTTTACTGTATACATCCTGTGACAACATCACTGGGGACACATGTGGATGCATCAATGCCATTCCTCCTGATGGACAATACTGCCAGCCTTCTGGTCAAAACAGTAAGTTGGTCCGCAGTAATCACTGCATCCTGACCAGCATTTGATGTGCCTTATTGTCAAAGTCTTTATCCTTAATTGCATGACAATCCCTGTGTCTCACTATGTAATTGCTTGCTTTTGGGTTGTCGAAAGACAGGAGCTGGCCTGAGTCAGAAGGACAACTTTGGAAACACTGCCATATGTTGTAGAGAATCTATAATTGTATTTTATTGTTTTTAACTCAAATGTACGTAAAAAGGATTAGGGCCACTTATGATGACCAAAAGTGATGTTTTTGTTTGTGCCGGTAGTCCCAATTTTGATATTCAACTTTTTTTCTCAAACTAAAACGAAAATCACCTTTGGGTCACATTAATCGTACAGTATGGGGAATTTCAAACATTCTGATGGCTCTAGTTCTTAAAATATGCATCTTATCATATGCAGAAGCAATTAACTAAGAAATCATCTCTCTTTTACTTCTTACAGCCTTTACCCTTTGTCCTCTTACAACAACTCCATCACCAACAACTCTTCCTTCAACAACTCCATCACCAACAACTCTTCCTTCAACAACTCCATCACCAACAACTCTTCTTACAACAACTCCATCACCAACAACTCTTCCTACAACAACTCCATCACCAACAACTCTTCCTACAACAACTCCATCACCAACAACTCTTCCTTCAACAACTCCATCACCAACAACTCTTCCTTCAACAACTCCATCACCAACAACTCTTCCTTCAACAAGTAAGACTTAAAAGACAGTATTTAATTTATTCATTTTGAGCAGTTTGGATATTGTATCTTTAAGTTACAACATCTTCTTGTTTAATAGCGATTGTCTCAAAATGGCGCTATGGTAATGGCATTCCATATTATAGTAATAGTATGTAATCCCCAATTCAATAGGAACTCTCTGCTGAGTGCAATGATGCTTTCCACAACAGTCTGGCAAACGGTTCATGATATGTAAGGGGGCGTGGCAAAAGTGTGGGGGCGGGGCACATCATTACTAATGCAACAGGAACTCACTGTCTACGACAATGGGTTCATGGTTCATTTGTTATGAAAGGGTTTGGGGAAAACCAACGATAGGTATCTGACTTCACCATGTTGGCAGATATTTTCTTAGTTGAATTGTCAGATTCATTCTTCAGCTTAACAAAAATGATTGTAAAATTGTGTTTTTAGTCTCAACAACAGTCACTACGACCCGGGTGAACACTCCAACACCCACAATGTCAGCAAAAACAAGTGCAAAATAACAATTGTTAGATTACTTTTCCGTGTTGTTGGTTATCGTCTAAATTGACTTGTCAAACAATGGGTATGATGTTATTCTTTCAGACTGAACAACCGTTGCTTCAATTGGTATAAACTCCACACAAACTTATTTAAATTCAGCTGAGTTGAGTGTGTCCATGATGAAGATTGTTGAGATTATTAAGAATGTATATGCTCGAGATGAACAGTGACTGAGGACCTGTAGGGTTTGATCAGAATAACTCGAACAGTGTTCTAAGGAAATGCTTGAATTGCTGTTGACTTGTTCTCAATGCATTAGGCCATTATTCCTGTTTTGGTAAGAACAAATGGGTTTGAGGTTATATCAACAATGGGGGACATGTGCCTGAGCTTAGAGAACAGATGCAAAGGCTGAAAAGGTCAGAAGTGAGTGGTAGTTGTGTAACGTTAAGAGCAGGTGCCTGTTTTTGTAAGCTTTTGGTAAACAGCGAAACATGGGAATGGGAAGTAAAAAGACAGTGTTGGCCAGTGACTAGTTTAATGGTAGGACTGGTATGGGATGGAGATCCGATTCTGGGACTTGTCTGATATTCTGGAAAGAGAAACAATACAATGAATCAGCAATGATGTGGTGGTAACCAGAAATGTGGGATGCCCAAAGAATGAAATGAAGCTCAGCGCAAGTTCAATCAGGAAGACCAAGCTCTTCATTCAGATTACACGTCACCACATTACACTCTCCTTCCTCATTAAGTGATCGGGGGCGTCACTCCCCAGCTAACCAATCTCTCCTCTCTCCATTCTCACAAGCCTATCATAGCTCCCGCTAATCCCTTTATATTTGCTCTTCCCTCTGTCAGCTGTCATTTCAGGTGACAAAACGCAACCCTCCTCCACCCCTTTCGCCTCCCATCTCCTTCAGGACCAAGCTAAACCTTCTCCCTTCAGTCCGTTCCCACCTACTTATCACCACCACCAATGTCTAGACCCCGGGGGTTTCATCGGAGCGGTTCTTCCCCCTCCTGAATTATTATCCTGCAAACTGGGGCCTAATCTCCAAACACCATTTCATTCTCCTCTTATAATTGTGGCAATCATTATTTCATTCATATTATGTGTCCCGGTAATAAATATGTATTCCATACATCAACGTCTCTCCTGATTGAACTGGTGTTGAGCTGAGATTCAAGTAAGTCTGCGCGGGAGCTGCATGATGTCTAAAGAACAAGATATATATATTTTAAGGATCTACATGAAGGATCAATGTGTGTTTTCTGTGTGGACGAGTATGGATTTCCTAGACCACCAAAGAACAACAGCTATAAAAATGGCTTCTAACACATGGAGCAAATATAAAGACAAGCGGGCCTGTGAGGCGAGATCAATATCCTCAGGTTTGGTGATAAAGAGCTCGAAGAAGAAGGAGATGCAATTCCAAGACAACAAATCTTGCCAAAGACACTTTTCCATCTTGCATGCATCTTCCAGAACAACTCTATTGTAGAGTTAGGGTGGGCTGCAGCTTTATGCAGGTCGGACAGGAAGGATTTTGCTTGAGGAATGGTAAATGGCATAATTGATGTAACCAAGGAGGGCTACAAGCTTGCATTTGCTGCACCTGTCAGACAGCAGGTAGTTTGACAGAATCACAGTCTGAGGTAAGGATAGTGGAATGACAAAAAGACTGTGATAATGCTTGAGGGCATGATTCAAGTCTGTCGTCGAGTAATTCAAGATGGTGCTCAGATGTGTTGGTAGGGTTCACAGGTGATCATTGCTGTTTTTAAGGCTTGGCCCTGCTCTTGAACCTAAATGTACGAATGATCTACTTGACTTGTTAAGGTGTGTATTCTTCAGCTTAACCAACATAATTATGAAATGGTCTTTTCAGACTCAACAATGGCTGCTACAACAGTTGTGACCAATACAACAACCACAATGTCTCCAACAACCACAAGGTCTCCAACAACCACAATGTCTCCAACAACCACAATGTCTCCAACAACCACAAGGTCTCCAACAACCACAAGGTCTCCAACAACCACAATGTCTCCAACAACCACAATGTCTCCAACAACCACAATGTCTCCAACAACCACAATGTCTCCAACAACCACAAGGTCTCCAACAACCACAAGGTCTCCAACAACCACAATGTCTCCAACAACCACAATGTCTCCAACAACCACAATGTCTCCAACAACCACAAGGTCTCCAACAACCACAATGTCTCCAACAACCACAAGGTCTCCAACAACCACAATGTCTCCAACAACCACAAGGTCTCCAACAACCACAATGTCTCCAACAACAGGTAAGGGAAATATACCAATTGTTACATTACATAATGATACATATTCAGGATTTATTATTATCATTATTAAGCTGTTATTAAAACAATTCAGTTAGTCTTTATGTATTTATGTATTCAACATTTTGTATTGGCAAAAACCTTCTGGGAAACATTGTTTGAAACTATTAAGTCATCTCTCCTAATGGGAGATCTGAACGTACAAGTTGTATTTATCTTTTTTCAGATCCAAAAAAAGTGTTAAAATGTTTAACAAGTTTAATCAGAATATTTGGAATCCTGAGTCATCAGAATAAAATAAAATTGAATTGATTAATTGACTCAACATCTATTGACAAAACACATCTTAACACTGCAACACCTAACCTAATCCAGGAATATTTCCAATGAACTTCTTGCTTATAACAATGTAGTCACACCATTGTATATTGTATTTGAGATACACATACTTTCGGTGCAGTTTAAATAAAAAAGCAAGTGATGAAGGCTATAATAACTCGACTCATACTGTCAACAGTAACACACTTTTATAAAATAGTCTTTCAAACGCCAACATCTCTTTCAACCACCATCATTACCTGTATTTAGCAATAAGCGTTTCGATAACTCGTCCCTGGTTGTTATTTGTAGAACATTTTCTGTAATTCACTTTCACGTAAGGTATTTCCCTCTACAGATGATCTTACTTTATTACAGTTAAAAATAACAAAGCAACCAAAATAACAAAGCAGACGAAATTGAAGAAACAAAATATTTTTACAATACTCATAACTCAACCATCAACTAGTGTGACCAGCCAAAATACCACCCTTAGCTCCACATCAGACGTTACCTCGACCCCAGCTCCAACCACAGCACTCATAACTGCTGCTACTACCAAGGCTACACTTGCAGTAACAACGACGACTGCTCCTGGGAAAGGTCTTTTTTATTGACAGAAATGTAGTGATAACATTCATGTGACATCCCTGCAGCCTACATATGCTGATAGCTAAGCTTGTCTTAAATGATGATATTACTTTATTATGCAATTTTTTAAAAGCATCTATACAAAAAAAGCACAGGCGAGCCAAACGTGAAAAAAGGGCTTTGACCTCAGGGTGTAAATGGACGTATATGTCATTCATTCATAAATTAATTGATGAATTATAAATTGCAGTTCTGCTTGAATATAGGTCAGGCTATTTAATTGCTACCTTCCACATGACATCTCAACACTGTTGCTGAAAAGGATATTTGCATTTGATAGAGACATGGGTTTTATACCCTTGATCTGCAAGTCATGCAAACCAAATTAAAAAATGATTCACAATTGTGTCCTCTCTTCTCATGTCTAGCTAGTATATTCTTTAAATCACAACAAACTGAATTGTTTGATCTTGTTTTTATTCTCTTTTCAAATAAATAGGGTTCAATTTGGAAATGACAGTGCAATTAAACAAGACGTTCACAGAAGATTTGAAAGATCCAACAAGTGCTGCATACAACAATCTTAAAGACAGCATGGAAACAGCGGTAAGTGCATTGATAAATACCATATCAAATTGTAACTTGTATTTTCAGTTGAATTGGTAATGTTATTAACCGTATCTCTCCCACAGTTAAACACGGAGTATAGAAGAATCACAGGGTTTATTAATGTTTCTGTGACTAGATTCAGGTATGGTAATTCTGGCATTTAAGACATATGGAGGCAGGAAATCTGTACACATTTGACACCACCATTTTGTTTTGTGTTTGTTCTTACAGAGAAGGAAGCATATTTACAGATTTTGTTGTTGAGACTACAGGGGTTACATCTGCAGAATTGGATGAAGCAAATAAAGCATTTTCAAAAGCAGTAACCTCTACTATTGCCCCTGTCATTGGCTCTGTCACTGCATTGTACAACAGTAAGTCCAACATAGCTAGTAGGTAATTACATTTTGTTTAACTTGTATAAATACCAAACTGATGTGTTTTTCTTTCTCCAAAGGTGAAAAGGAATTAGGGATTACCGCCCCAAAGTATACTGGAAATAACATGACACTGGTGTGCGACCCCATCATTTATGTGGAAGAATTAAGAAAGTCCGAGTGGACATTTCGTGGAAGGGTAATTAAGCAGGCTGGAAAGAGAAAAATAACAAATTCTAACACAAGGTCTGTTCTAAGAATAGAGAAAGCCAATGCTGTGGATATTGGTAAGCAAAAGCTAGTAAAATAAGTAAAATAACAGCTTTTTTAATTGATGCTAATAGACAAATTAATTTGCTGCTTGGACTGGAATTTTCACTATTTAATATACTAATGGTATCATTCTTTTAACTTTTTTTACAGCATACCAATGTAATCATTGTTTTTATTATCTTAATCACAGGACTTTACCAATGCACTCTGATGGGCGACGTATTGCAGTTCAGACAAATAAGGAATGTGACTGGAGATGATATCCAAGAAGCTCCCATCATAGTATCAGAGTCTCACATACCTGTTAGATGTCTGGGGACGGAGGGACAAACAGTACCACTTAAGTGTTGTGTGCAGTTCCCTTTTAAGGTGAAGTGGTTTAGAGGCTCACTTGCTCTTGGTAAGTTTAAAATGTTTCAGAAAACTTCTCAATCTGACCATACTGAAAACACACCTCCAATAACAGTTTATTTTATTAACAACACTGTTAAATGTTTGCAGGATCTACTGTTACTGGAAATGGAAACCCATTCTGTCGCACGTATGAATACACGCTAGGAGCCTGCAGTACACCAACGTCACTAGCATTTACTTGTAAGGTCGATGGTCTCGATTATAGCCGGGTAACAACATTGACAATTTCCGAAGAACGTAAGTGCAATGTTTCAAAAGTGACTATGCTTTTCTTTTGCAGTCTTTTTCCTCAATATTTTGTGTAATACTAATTGATTATTATTTATCTCCTAAGCTTTTACATGTAAAGACGCTGATTATGGAGAAGGACGAGAAGGCGAACAATCTAGTACAGAATGTCCTACAGGTCAAGAGGGGGAAAAGATTGCGAAGTGTGATGATGGAAAGTGGATATTGGTAGAGAACACTTGCGTTATCAAAGTAATCAAGGAGTTGCTTGATTCTTCAGAGGTAAGTGATCAGCTGGGGATAACAATTCATCCCCATATTAAATCTATAAAACACACAGTATACCATAAAGTTATTAAAAAAACGGTCCTTTGTTCACTAGTTCTACGTAACCATATATTCCATGTTATGCAACAATTGTATGTAGGAACAATTTTCTTTCTAACAAACTACACCTGTCAACTCTGAGACACCATCTGTTCAACAAAAGCATGAAGAAAATCTAAATGTCATGTTTCTTATAAATCAACTCAACAGCAGAAATCATTACCAGTTGCTCAAGATAATCCACTGACCTTGTGAGAAGTTTCATTTAGTATGTATTTTATTTCATCTGAAGTACATTCGCGTGAGAAAGTGAGAAAAAATGAACCGAGCTAATTTGTTATAATATTTTGTATTGTTGTAAAAGACCCACGTTTTCGACCAACATCGGCACATTACATCACGGCTTCTGCTGTCCAGTAACTTCTTGTAACTAACTGACCACTGTTTTTATATAAAGTGTGGCTCTGCAACAACACTTCTTTAATCTTTAACCTGTTAAGCACCAAGCCTGTTTTTCATGTTTCAGGCTCGAAAATGACATGCCCAAAACAAATGACTACAACTTAACTTCTAAAAGGGTTATATGAATAATTTATTTTCTCAAAGTAATGATAAACCTGTGAGTTGGATGTAGAAAAGTCAGAATCAATATAGATGTTTTTTATTTTAAAGAAAATTCAGATTTTACATAGTAAAAAACTGTAAATTATAGTGTCCGTCCAAATATTCTTTTTTACTTATAGTGAAAACTACCCTTGGATGATGGGTTAGTAGACTAAAAGCTTTAGGAATCCAAAGTACAACATATAATAAGTACCCTGTATCAAGATTGATGCAAAACAAGTGACATTTGACCTTTTTAGAGAGGTTTAGCCAAAAACACTCCACCTCTGAGGTGATTTGGGTGAAAATTGTTTTTTTTTCATATCTCTGGAACCCATTGGTCGATTTTGATGGTTGACACCTCTTTCTGACCGTTAGAGCCAATAGAATCGAAGGGGGAGTCCCCCACACACACTCATTGTGAAAGAAAAAGGTTGGGGCTTTGCGCATGCAGTTTTGCATTAGAGTGAAGCTACAGTCTAGCTCTGACATCTAGAAACCTAAAAGCATGGATTATCCGTCTGTTTGCTCATGGATTATCAGAAATCATTTCAAAGGGACACAGACACATTGGATTAACCTATGGATTAACTTCAGCAGCGTTTTTATCATTTTAATGCCATTGAAGACCACTTTGGAGAGACTACAGAGCCAAGGTAAAAATGTTAGCATTTTTAGCTAACTAGCGTCACCTGTTTTGATGTCCGTTTTTGCTTATAACGTCGCCATTTCGTATAATTCAGTGATAATGAGGGTACCCATCGATTCTGTGTCACCTCACGATGTGAAACGATGTCATGGATGTAGAGAAAAGATAAATAATAAGGTTTTGTGAGTGATTTTCGGTGCAGTAAGGTGTTAGCATTTTTCGCTCGTTGCTAATTCAGAAGCTCAGTGTTAGCATTGTGGGTTTTCTTTTGAAAAAAAAAAAAAAATGATCAGTTAGATGAGTTTCTTCCCGTTACATGGATATAAAACATTCATAGTTTTATTAAATGAACATGCCCTCAGACACTGTTTCCTGCAAGATGTTGCGGCAGTGCCCTGGTACCGGGGTCTCTCGGGCTTAACAGGTTAATATGGGATAGGTCTCCAAATGGTAGTACCCTGTATCAAAGCACACGGCCATCCCTCACACAATCACATTCTTTTAGCCTCTTCTGTATTTTTGTGGCTTAAAATGTGCAGCTGTTGCCAGAAAAGAAACATCTCTGTATTTGTCATGGTTTACAATCTCTCATTATATAAATGTATGTGTTTTTAATATTTACTTTAGGTGTTGCTGGTGCAAGATGTCCCAGATTTTGTGGGGAAACTGAGTGCAGAGGTCGAAAAGGTGCAGAAGGCAGTAAGAGAGTCACCTAATACCATATCAACTATCGTGGACATCCTGGGCAACATTGCAGATATTGATACTCTGGTAGTCAATCAACCTGTCATAAGGGTAGGTTAAACCTTCCCATCAGCATTATCTTAGTTTAGATATGTCTTTTATGTCAACAAATATGTGAACTGCTCTATTGAAACCAGTCGGATGTCGCAACGGCGCATTGCAATTGGGGTTTTGGTTGATTCTAAAAAAACAATGTCTTGGCTTCAAGAATATCAATCTTTTATATCACATTTATACAATAAATACATTACCCCCCTCGGAAAATACATATATATTCGGAAAGCTAAGAATCTCCTCTTTCCAGTTATGTACATAACTCAAAATGTGTATCGGAGTCGATGTGACTGATTTTTATAGAGCAGTTCACGTATATTTTTTTGATGCGAATGTAACCTCACAATGAAATCTCTCTTCATCTGCAGAGTGTCCTTCAAACAGTTGATTTCATTATTGGTGAGGATTCAAGAGAGTCCTGGAAATTTCTGAATGCAAACGAAAGCAACAACGCAAGCTCTGATTTACTGGGTTCGATGGAACTCCTCTCTGATAAAATAAATGGGACATTTACCTTTGAGACTGCTGCAATCCTCTTCGACAGAAGCACCTTTGACCCTGACCTTATCTCGTTCTCCGCAAATCTGAACAGCAGCGTTGTCCTGAACATTTCTAACAACGGCTTTAGCAACGCCTCTATCACCACTATTACTTTCTTCACCCTAAATAATGTTATGCCAGTACGGAACTCCAGCTTTAACACCAGCCTCTTCAACACCAATAACACTGACCCCGTTAATGCCCTCAACGCAGCTGTGGTGCTGATCAAAGTAAATGAAACAATTCGGAACGTTACTTTAAGCTACACCAAGTTAAAGACGACTCTGACGCAAGATCCTCAGTGTGTCTTCTGGAACTTTAAACTGTTTGACAACAGGGGGGCTTGGGATAGTGAAGGGTGTGAGTTTGTTTCCGATATAAATGACACAGTAACCTGCAGATGCGACCATCTCACCTCATTTTCAATTCTGATGTCAACTGGTATCCCTAAAGAATTCAAAGAACTCTTGGATCTAATCACCTACATTGGAGTTGGGATCTCTTTGGCAAGTTTAGTTATATGTTTAATTATTGAAGGATACGTTTGGAAAGCCATAACTAAAAATAGCACTGCCTTCATGCGTCATGTTTCCATCATTAACACTGCCCTCTCTCTGTTGATCGCTGACATCTGTTTTATCATTGGAGCCTCCATTGCCGACAACCCAGCTGAAAACCCGGAGAACAAGAACTTTAATGTTCCAGTTGAGTCTTGTAGCACAGCAACATTTTTTATGCACTTGTTTTACCTTGCGGTGTTCTTTTGGATGCTAGTTTCAGGCCTTCTGCTATTTTACCGGACAGTCATGGTCTTCTCCCACATGTCCAAGTCAGTCATGTTGGCTATTGGCTTCTTATTAGGCTACGGGTGCCCTCTGATCATAGCTGTTATTACTGTTGCCGTCACAGCACCAGGAGAAGGATACATCAGGAACAAAGAGGCTTGTTGGCTTAACTGGGAGCAAACAAGGGCCCTGTTGGCGTTTGTGATACCTGCCTTATCTATAGTTTGTATCAACATAATTATCGTAATCGTGGTCCTGTTCAAAATGCTAAGAAGAGGCGTGGGAGACGCCGGCCAAAAAGAGGAAAGGCATACGCTGGTTGTCATTCTAAGGTGTGTGGCCATTTTGACTCCTTTATTTGGACTGACCTGGTCTTTAGGAGTGGGGACCATGCTAGATTCGACAAATAGAGGACTCCACATTGTCTTTGCACTCTTCAATTCACTACAGGTATTTGCAACCTTTAAAAATAACAAAATAACAACTTGTTCTTACATAGCAGTATTTTTATATAATACCTATTTTGGTCAATTTCTTTGATGTTAAATAAATATGCGTGTTATTTCATTTTCCTCAGGGTTTCTTCATTTTAGTGTTTGGGACACTATTCGATTCAAAGGTATGTTGTCTTTAAACTAATAATTGTGGATAGATGATTGATACCTCTTTTGATAGTAGTAGTAGAAGTATTCAAATCCTTTAACGTGCCAGAAGGTAAAAATACCAGATTATAACTTAATATCATGCAATGAAAAAGGATTAAAGTCATATCAGTTTTAGCATTATTGTTATCATATCTTATATTCCATAATGAGATTATCATGAAGCATTGAAACAAAATGATAGAGATTTCTGTACCTTTGTGATTTAGTGCCCCCAGTTAAAGATTTTAATTGACCTTTACACCATAACGTTGAGTGTGCATTTGTTATGTTAGCATTACTTAAGATAAAAACTAGCAGGTCGACAACTTTGTTAACAAAGCCAAACATCAACAATCAGAAACAGAAGTCCTTAACTGTCCAACGGCAGGAACATTTACAATGTTACAGCAAGCCCAGTCCCAAAGCAAGAGTACACAACACAATAAATAGAAGGCCGGCTAATCAGCTAATCTGGCTATTGACCCCGCCCACCTGGTTTATGTCCTGTAGTTCAGGCTGTGTTGATGCCGTTACTTTTTAATGGGAAAAAAATTATCCAAAGTGGAGAGAACAAGAAAAACAAATCCTGCCAATTTTAACAGAATTACTGGAAGAATGTTTTCGTTCACCATTTCGTAGTGAAGAGCTTTGGATCTTGGAAATACTGGCAGCCTAGTTTTAAGCCCTTGACTATAAGGAATATATACACACGTGTGAAATGAACTTGCTCACTCCATATAACTGGCTGCAATCTACAGTAATTACGAGAATGCACTCAAAGTATAGATATAAATATAACAACAAAAAAACGTACAGGTAATGCCATCTCAAGGGCTATGAACAAAGGATGGCACAGGATTAGCATGTATCAGCTTCACTGGAGCACACATGCCATTTTAGAATCACTAAAACTATCTTCCTGTCACGTAAGAGCTAGAATTCAAAGCTTAAAAACACACCAAATGGTTGGCGAAGCCATAACAGAGGGTCTCTATCTTCCTTGACAATGATGACATGCTGTATTCCAGCCAATCGTGACTTGCAAAAAGTATTCTGATGAGGTGACGCCATAGATGTTGCCAATGTGAAACATCCATTCATGCTACTCAGAGAACCTCAGAGAACTCAATGTTATTACAGTTGTTGTTCGGCATAGGTGGAGCTTGTTTTTACTGCTTCAAGCTTTGTTTTGCAATCCATTGTTTTTAAGGTAAACTGGTAATTGTTACATGTGTATAGAGGATTTAAGGGCATATTTGTTAATTACTTATCTCTGTAATGGATTGGTTGGAAAGAGTTATATACAAGTTCAGATAACAAAGTGTAACCCAAGGGCAGTACTGGAGAAAATGTAGCCTGCTGTGCGAATATGCTTAGCAGCCCCTCTAAAGCTCACTAGAGAGTTAATGTTAATTATAAAGCAAGTAAGCTTATTTTCTCTAAAATGTTGTGTAAAAATGTTAATCTTCCTGAATGTTTTCCAAATCGCACATAAGTTGATTGAGATGAATTTGATTTTCCTGTAGATCCGTTCTATCCTCGCAAGAAAATCACCTACAACAAGCACAGGCTCCAATACAACAAGAGTAAGTCATTTTAAAGTGTATGCAGTTTTTCTTGTTCATAAAGATATCCTGCAATCACCTATTTATTACGGTGGCCCTGAAGTGCAAGACACCACAGCATTTCACAAAACACAACAGCATTTCACAAAACACTACAGCATTTCACAAAACGCTACAGCATTTCAGAAAACGCCGCAGCATTTCAGAAAACACCACAGCCTTTCACAATGCTTTATTAATTCATGGTTTTTAAGGGGCTTATCTCCATGTAAATGATTACATTCTCATGTAAATACTATGGTAGACTACCCAATATTCGCATCGCTCTAATCGCTTGAGTTTCACCGCGGCTGTAAATCCTATGGGAGATACCAACTACAACAAAATGAACATATTTTACCGTGATTTAATTGTAATACACGTTTCAAAATGATGCCGAAGTAACAACATACTGATACCGGTTAGTAAAAACCATGAATTAATGCTTTGACAAGTCTGCAGACAGACGGCAGGCGAATATCCTTTTAAAATGCGTGTTTTCTGAATGGAATCGGATCGATCAGGCTAAACTAACCTGTAGCTGCTCCGTCCACACTCACAACAGCGTCATACAGACATAAATAAAGCAGCGACTGTATTCACCATGACATAGACAGTCTGTGGTTTGTACATGTTTAACTTTTGTCCAGTTTCTGAACAGATATGAGAAGCTGTGAGCTCTGAGTGTGTGCTAACTGCTAACGGCTGATATGTTGGGATATGTTGGGCTGTCGGGTGCTGCTGACCAATCACGAAGCGTCATTTCTTGACTGGCAGCAAAAACAATCAATCACAGCAGTGCTTCTCTGGCTGGCTGTCCAATCACGAACAAGAAGTGTTCTCCCTAAAGGAATACCCTTTCCGTCCAATATGAAATGCTGCTGCGTTTTCTGAAATGCTGTGGTGTTTTCTGAAATGCTGTTGTGTTTTCTGAAATGCTGTAGTGTTTTCTGAAATGCTGTGGTGTTTTCTGAAATGCTGTAGTGTTTTCTGAAATGCTGTAGTGTTTTCTGAAATGCTGCAGCGTTTTGTGAAATGCTGTTGTGTTTTGTGAAATGCTGTAGTGTTTTGTGAAATGCTGTAGTGTTTTTAAAAATGCTGTAGTGTTTTGTGAAATGCTGTAGTGTTTTGTGAAATGCTGTTGTGTTTTGTGAAATGCTGTAGTGTTTTGTGAAATGCTGTTGTGTTTTGTGAAATGCTGTAGTGTTTTGTGAAATGCTGTAGTGTTTTGTGAAATGCTGTTGTGTTTTGTGAAATGCTGTAGTGTTTTGTGAAATGCTGTAGTGTTTTGTGAAATGCTGTAGTGTTTTGTGAAATGCTGTAGTGTTTTCTGAAATGCTGTTGTGTTTTCTGAAATGCTGTAGTGTTTTGTGAAATGCTGTAGTGTTTTGTGAAATGCTGTGGTGTTTTGTGAAATGCTGTTGGGTTTTCTGAAATGCTGTAGTGTTTTGTGAAATGCTGTAGTGTTTTGTGAAATGCTGTGGTGTCTTGCACTTCAGGGCCACCGTAATTTATACCATATAACATTTGTTTTCTACTTTAGAGTACAAGTGGTGGCATTTCCTCCACTGGAGTGAACTGGTTCCATCGACTGCGTGGAAGAAGAAGCAAGTTTTTATTTTAAATTGAGCAGTTCTTTTCATTTACTGAGATATCATTTCCCTAATAACAATTTGTTATTTGTCTTTCAGACGTCTACCGTATGTCAGGGGCTGCAAACTCGGGCAGTGCTGGTGCGTCGGAGTCATTCTCCAATATCTAAATCAATACATTGAACCGTACACATTATTTCTTTAGGGCTATTTATTCAAAAGATCTGACAGTTATTGTAGGATTTTCAGCACATAATCAGAAACGATGCAGTTTACTGGGATGATATTGTAAGAGATGGTGCAACAGACAAGGTTAGTTTTGAAATCAGAATAGTTTAGGTCCTACACGCAGCATTAAAATAAGTTTGCATTGTAAAGGTACTGTTCTGTTATTCAAAGCCCTAAGAAAGCAAGTGTGACACAACATTGTGAATGAAACTTTGAAATGACATTTTATTTTGAAGTGTGAAATGTGATGGTGCTCTGAATCAATGACGTGCAATGATCAATTATTATCTTAATGTACAGTCGTAGTGAATCATACCTACTAGTTTCTAGGTGTTTCATGATAACATTGATAATACCATGACTATGTTCCTGGGGAAAAGAGCATAATACTTCCTTCATTAAAAGCAAAACCTAAAACCTAAAAAATGTGTAAAAAGATAAATAGATTTTTAGTAACAGTATAACTCAATAATGCATGTTAGCTAAACAGCAGCAGTTGTAAGAACAGCAATGAAATGAAACTAAGTGTAATGTTCATTGGCCCGCCCGCCCCCCCAAAAAAATGCTCGCCATTAAGAACTTTGTTTTTAAAACAGGTGTACAGTTCATAGATGTGTATATACAGTTGTTTAATTTTTTCATAAATGTTTTTTTATTATAAATGAAATGCTTTACAAGATTTAAAGTGTTTTCTCTTAATATAACACAAAGTATTGCCTTCCAACCATGTTCTTTTTCTGTAAATGATCAATCTTTCCCAATAAACATACAAATTAAAGCACTATACATAACACATTTTGAAGATAGATTGGTTCTTTGACAGTCAATATTGTGTTATAATGTTTAAGGTGACCTATTATGCAAAATGCACTTTTTGAGGGATGTTATACATAAATATGTGTCCCCGGTGTGTAAGGAGACTTACAAAGTATCAGAAAATAAAACCCTCTCTCTTTTCTTCCGTACCCACATCTCTAAATACGGGTGTACCATGGAGCTGATCCAGATTTGCTGAGAACTTGACGTCATGTGGTTAATATTTGCCCTTTTACATTTGTTAGATCACATTAATGAATTAAAGTGCTACTTGTTTTTTTGCCCGCTGACCGGCTGGTCCTGTGGCTCATCTTTTTTTTGTAACTAGCTGATGCTCAATCTCATCCTCTTCCTCACATTCTGAAGCCTCTTCCTCTTCCTCTACATCATCATCAAATGGTTCTCTCTCTTCCAAAATAATTTGCAAGGCCCTCTGAGCAGAGAATCTTTTGGCCATCTTGATCAGTTGTGATAAGGACCCAAACTGGCGAAGCTTTATTTATTGTGTCTTGCTCCAAATTTGCAGCTTGGATAGAGTGTGAACAAAATAAAGATTGGTTCCCGCGAGAGCAGACAAGTGTCGGTGCTTGAATTGATCAACAATGTTGCAACCTTGTGCGGGAATGGCAGGGGCAGAAACACAAAAGTCTCATACAGACGCACGCACGCACGCACGCACGCACGGCACGCACGCACGCACGCACGCACGCACGCACGCACGCACGCACGCACGCACGCACGCACGCACACACACACACACACACACTTTGTATTGTATTATTGTATGAGAGAGGTTCCAGGTTGAATTGAGGCGAATATTTGTAATGTTCAGAGGTTGTTGTGTTTAATATTCATGAGGATATTTGTCATTGTTCAAATGATAATAAACAAACATATAAAGCATATTTGTCCACTCATATGTTGATAAGAGTATTAAAAACTTGAAAAATATCCCTCTAAGGTACATTTAGAACAGATAAAAAATGTGCGATTAATTTGCGATTAATCGCGATTAACTATGGACAATCATGCGATTAATCGCGATTAAATATTTTAATCGACTGACAGCCCTACTCAACATACATGGTTACTATCTTCTTAGTACATTCTTGTTTTATCTCAGTTCCAGGTGACAAACGGGCAGACTAATCCAGAGGGAGTTGAGGAGGAGACGCTCCCCTTAGACTTGACTTCCCATGAAACATCAAAAAGTGAATGTGCTACTACTGAGGTAATTCAGTAATATGGAGCTGTCTCCACAATATGTTAATGTTGTCCTTTTCAAGATAGGACCTTTTTTTAAAACTCTTTTCTGATACAGCTTTAATCCCATTACTAATTGAGTGATTTGTGTAGATCTTACTGAGGAAACTGAATTGAACATATTTTTAGACTAGCCATAATGGGATTTGTTACATAAACCTGTCACACACACTGGTTTCTAGTCTTGACCTCATGGGACCCTTTTGAATCATTATGATTATTAGTTATAAATGTTTATTATTTACTGTCGTGTCGGGTCACTCATTCACTGGATCAGCGAGCTGCATGAGACAGAGACGGGCTGTCAGGAGAGAGAGAGAGAGAGAGACAGGCTCCATTTATTAAGCCCGCCGTGTTATTATCCAAAGTTACTGTAAACTTCTGAATAATCTAGTAACTACTAGTCTAGTCTGTCAAAGGGAGAATCTAGTAATTTTTTCACGCAATGTTAGTAACTATTGTGTGATTACTGAATTAATAACAGTTACTTTGTAACGCGTTACACCCAACTCTACTCTTAAACTTCTTAAACCTATGACATGTTATTATATGTCCACCTAGGGAAACAAACATTTGTGAAACGCAGCTGGACGTCGGAGGAAAGTGCTGCTGTGGAACAACACTTTGGTTATGAAATGGACAATCAAGAATCAGGTTCCAGGGAAAGATGCATGTGAGGATTGTATCTCTGCCGAACCTCAAGCCCTAACAAATAGAGACTGGGGAGCCGTTAACTATTACATGAAAAATGTTCTGCTCTCCGAATGAAAATGAAATAAAAGTGAACCAATGCAAAATACGTTCAATGTTGAAAGAAGGATTTCAAGTACCACTACCAAAACTAGGGGCTTTACCTAAACCAAACCAAATTCTCATCCTTGAATCGTCAACTAATACAAATGAAAGGGAAATCAATTGCGTTCCGCTTATGCTGCTAGAAAGAATCATTCATGTTTTCAAAGATTTCTTATTTTGCTTTTAGGGTTTTCCCTCTCCTGTCGTGTAGAAAATATATTTTTGTGCATGTAAATGGTTTGCAAAGTCTACTGTCTAGTTATCTTCTATGTTAAGATGAGGCTAATCACCTAAGTAATTACTTATCTTACCAGAAATGTGAATTTGTTGGTGTAAAAAATATCAAAGTAGAATGTAAATGTTCCTGATGCTGTTCTGCAGTTTCTTTGGTAACAAGGCAAGTAAGTGGGTAAAAAACTAGCATGATGACAAAAGCTTGGAATTATGTTTATTTCAAGTGATTATTGTGATTCTAATTTTTTCCTATATTGTCTGATTTTGCACGGAGGTCTAGTACAGTTGGAAAGGATGGATCCCACAATTGGGTAAAATAAGTTTGGGCCCCACATTTGGGCTTCACAAGACTGTGTGTGTGTGTGTGTTTGTGTGCGTGTGTGTGTGGCCTAGCATTACCATCCTTGTGGGGACCTAAATCTGTTTACACAGTCACGTGTGGGGACCCGCCCCCCTTATGGGGACATAATGGAGGTCCCCATGAGGGGAATCATTCATTTTAGGGTGAAGACTTGGTTAGGGTTAGGTGTATAAGGTTTTGAATCCTGTCGCCGTGAGGCGACAGGATCGAGTGCACACTCCAAACCGGAAGAATGTGAATATATGTAATTTTTGCATCTACTTGTCACGATCTGTCTATGTTTTAGTTTGTCTGTCTCTGTTTCCTGTTTTAGTTTGAAAAGTGTTCCCCCTCCCGTCTTGTCTGTTGCTGGTGATTGTGTTCACCTGGTGCCCTGTGTTTTCTCCTCCCTCCTCACCTGTGTCTTGTTGGTTTGATTAGTCCTGTGTGTATTTAGGTTCTGTTTTCCTGTTAGTCGGTGTGTGTGGGAAATCCTTTTTGCTGGTGACTGTGTTCACATGAGACAGTAATATTGAGGCTGTGTCATGTACCACAAGGAGTAATAAATGCCCACACCGGGTTGTATTTGGACGTTCTGCCTCTGCCTCCTTGCTTGGTCGGGCCGCTCAATGGTCAGCTTCACAGACACCATAAAGGTCTGAAAAAGTGAAGCCATGTGGCAGTGCCTTACATCTGCCTTCTTTTAAATGATAGCAAAATCAGTTTATGGTCTCAATCGCTAGTTCGAAGTCTTCTTTGTAAAAATATTGCCCCATTCAGTGTAAAATAGGTAATATATCAGGGTCTGCAACATTTTGATTGCCTAAATGTTTATGTCCAGCATTCGGTTGTACTAAAAGACACATAAAGGAGTTGGCTGTTCATTTTTTTTACATTACTATTTCCTCTTCTTTCATCTACCAACTCTCCCCACAATGGTTGAGCTTCAGTTATTGTATTTTTTGCACTTGATACAATACATTTCATTACATGCAGGAAAACAACATGATTGATAGTGATGTTGTGCATCCCTTTGTTAGCCTCTGGATGCAGAAGATCATGGACTAAAGTGAAAACATGGTGTGTGAAACTGAAAGCCTACACTTAAAAGACCAGTAACATTAAAGACTTGAGGCAGCAAAAACAGTTTTTATAGTGATGGCATAAACAGGGAAATGACTGTTATTGAAAAATGGACTCTCAGCTCTTGGTCAATAACAAAAATAGGGTTCACTTCAGTGTCCTTCAGCAGAGGGTATTATATATTTCAGGATGAGCAACGTGCTGCCAGTTTGGAGAGTTCATTTAAAATGTTACTGCATGAGAGTCTTCTTTGCAACACAGTGAGTTTAAATAATTGTACTGCATTGACTGGCAAAAGCGCGGGATTTCAGGAGAAAGCCGCAAATCAACGGCCATGCGAGCAGCTCTGTTACCTGCTAAAGGCTAGCATTTGTTAATTAGCAATGATAAAAATGAAAGTCAGTTCTATTTTTTTCTCCATCTAACTCTAATTTGTTGAATTATTAATCATTTTAGATCATGAGAATTCAGGGTTTGGGCAGCATTTTAGTTGCCTTAAAAAATGTCTTGTTCTGCATTCGATTGTACTTTAAGAGACAAGTTTTTTTTGTATACATTTTGTTATAAATTAAATAGTTTTTTGCTACACAATCAATAGTTGTATTACAGTTAACGTGAATTACAGATGGGCCCTGCTAACCAAGCTAGCATTAGCATGTTATTTAATGTTTGCCATGCTAATGAGACCTGGCCCCGCACTTTCTCATCTCCGCCTTCTCGTCAAAATATGGTCACTTTTGATTCCTAAAAAACAAGATGACGGCGTCCATAATGCCATAACCAAGCCATAAAAAAGCCATCATGTTGACTATGCTTACTTACTATATACATGTTGTCTATGATTTTAATATGGTACAATTGTGCAGTCATACCAACTCTCCCCACAATGGCTGGGCTTCAGTTATTGTCTTTGTTGCAGTTATGAAATACATGCATGAAAACAACATGATTGATAGTGATGTTGTGCATCTCTTCGTCAGCCTCAGATGCAGAGGATCATGGACTAAAGTGAAAACATGATGTGTGAAACTGAAAGCCTACACTTAAAAGACCAGTAACATTAAAGACTGGAGGCAGCAAAAGCAAAACCAGAAGTCATTATTATCTCTTTCCCTGATTCATCTTATAGCCGCATTATGCAGAGCTGGTCGCTGGTCTCATGAGTCGAAATAATGAGGACGGCATTGACAGAAAAAATTTGAAATAATTAAAAGAAAGGATAAGAGAGAGAACAGAGAAACGGGCATCCTTTGAGATCTGTAAAGAAAATGTGTGTGTGTGTGTGTTGGTATTCTGCTCAGACTTAAAGCTCTGCTGTTTTCTTCACACACTTTTTGCCGTCGTGCACATGGCTGCTCTCTCTGACAGTCACAGTGTTTCGTCTCTGTTTCCTGAGGGGCTGCTGACAGTATGTTGGTTTATTCAGATCCCTTCACATATTTTTTCAATTTCACATGTGTTGTTCTATGTTTGTTTGTCTGTCTTTCCTAACCACTTTTCCTTAACCTCACCGGGGTCATTTCCCTCAGTGAGAAACGTTCCTGACTAAAAAAAGAGTCTTCTTGGGAGTCATCT